GTTAAGGATTCGGTAAGAGAAACCGAAACCAGTGAATGAATCCACTTGCAGGAGCTGATAAAGCCTAGCCGTGATCCAAAGAAAGCCGTAGTCGGAGAAACGAGCCGAGAGTCCAGGGGAAGCCAGAGATCCAAATAGGGAACGAGTTACCGAAGCCGAAGCGTGATCCGAAACCGTAGACAATAGAGCAATCCGAGTCCAGGGGAAGCCAGAGATCCAAAACAGAGCGAGAGTACCGAAGCCAAGTCGTGATCCGAAAAACCGTCGTCAGAAGGGGAATAAAACGTAAACCGAAAACCAAGAAGGACACAAGGCAGAAGAAGGAGTAGCGCAACTAGGAAGCTCGAAAGGAAAACCAATACTGAGCAAGGAGGTAGGGAAAGACAGGTGTTTAAGTACAGGATGAGACGGGGGTGTGGTGGTGAATAAGAAAAACTGATAGGTAAACTGATGGAGTAAGGCTACGCCTTCTTCTGCCTCTGCCGTAGCCGGGAGGCAGGGATCGTAACAGGATATAGATTTCAGTGAAAAAGTCTGCAAGTTCAGGGCTTCTGTTAATGGGAAAATGGCACAGTGACAAGTCAGGGTGAGCGTCTGTTTCAGTAAAGAGTACTACCTGTGTCTTTCTGAGACATTTCATCTCTGTTGGAGATTTTCTTCAATGTGATGTGACATGTAAGTGTGTTTTTTTCTTACTTCAGAGTGTTTCCTTCTTTCAGAGATGGAGTCTGACCAGTCACAGTGGCTCTTTTTGACTCTGCTGTTTCTCCACCAGTCCTGTGTCTCAGGATCAGGTACAGTGAGACTCTTATTGGTGTTTTAATCAATAACCTGACCAGAACCCAGATTTCACACTGATAACTGAAAATAGTACAGTTTCTAAGAATCAAATTTCTGAAGCTGATGATTGTAACATTTATTTGACCTGACTGTTGTCTAGATGAGATCTAAACAGTGCAAATGGATGCTCAGACTCAGGGAATGATTTTCATCACAGTGGGATGAGCTGACAGACTGAGAGACAGTGTCAATCATGGCCAAGTCACACTGCTGACCTGAGAGCTGCTTCACCCTCTCTGCCAGTCTGTGCCTCAATGTTAATGTTGAGTTAATGTTGGCTACATCAGGTACTCATCACTTACAGAGGGAATCCTGGAGTGACCCAAACCACACAGGACATTGCAATGTGTCAGAAGTGTGTTTGTGGAAGATGGAGGGATGTTACAGCCAACACTTGTAGAAGGAACCTGACTGGATCTTGCCTGTAGTTCATCTTCATTCTGTTTTGTGTGTCTAGATGTCGCTGATATCTTACTTTGTGTTTTAAAAACTGCTGAATAAAACCTGGAATCATTCAGGTCCATGGGTACATCCCACTGTGCCTCCAGTGTTTATGTGTTCTGATTGTGTTGGAAGTATTAATCAGCAGTTTAATCTGGGTTCTGTATGTGAAGTGTTTCAGTATATACAGGACCAGAGAGCAGAGAGAAACACACAGAAAAAGAGCCTGATTTAACCCCCTACTGTCACTGCAGAGTAACAGACCCTCAGTGAACACAGTCACAGCTCTTCTATCAGTGAGTGAAGGCGAGGATCTGAGGGTCCTGGGTGAGAGATACAGACCCCAGTTTGGGAAACACTAGTGTGAGGAAGAGGAGCAGATGGTGAGATGAGACTCACTGATCTTCAGTGCTCCTCAGTCACATGTGGGTCTGAATCAGTGATGGGCTGTTTGTAGAAAACACTGTGTGTCACTGAGCTGCTCTGCTTTATTCTGCCAGTGATGAGTCTACAGTTTGTCTCAGAGTGTTTGTCTGTGTTGAGGTTGAAGACTCATGTCAGCTGTGCTCTTTCTCTTTCAGTGAGGTTTGAGGTTCATGGTCCAGCTGCTCCAGTAGTTGTGTCCCCTGGTGAAGACGCTGTCCTGCCCTGTTACCTCTCACCAGAGATCAGTGCTGAGGACCTAGAGATCAGGTGGTTTAAAAAGAATTACCATGACCTTATTTGTTTGTATGAATCAGGCCAGTATAACCTTGTAAGACAGAACCCAGCCTACAGGGACAGGGCTGGTCTATTCCTGCAGGAGCTCCACAGAGGCAATGTGTCTTTAACACTGAGAGATGTGAGACGATCTGACCATGGACAGTACACGTGCTTGGTGGGGTCTAAGCTGATGGAGGATGAAGCTGTTATTAACCTGGGTGTGAGAGGTGAGTGTCTTTCTCTCAGAGTTACATCTGTGGTGAGTTATTGATCACTGCAATGTACAATAAAACTAAACAACTACACAGGAATGATGAGTGATAGTACATAATGACTTAAGAGAAGATTATCGATGTACTGGGCATGGTGTTTTCCCAAATATAATTTGATCTTGACTTTGAAATGGCATATTTACAGTATGTTAAATATAAATGTTTTCACGATCGTTACTCCTCCTCTTAGGGGCACTCCAGCCCTTCCTCGTTCTGTCCCATTCCCCACACCTGTTCCTTATTGCAGCCCCTCTTTAGTTCCACCTTTAAAGCCAGACGCAGGCGTTTGCCTGGCGCTTCTCATTGAATCCCGTTTCGTGAGAGCTCGGGGTCCTGCCGCGTCTGGCTCCATCATGGTTTTAGTTTCCTGTTCCTGATTCCCTGCCCCGCCGGTCCCGACCCGGTTCTGGTTTTAACTTCGGATGGATCCCCGGGTCTTGGACTAAACCTCCCGTCTTGGATTCCCCCTCTGGATTGACCCTTGGATCGTTCGCCCTGGATTCACTCCCCCCGGACACCTGCACTCCTCGGACACGCCCCCTGTCTCCTGACCCTTCTCCTGCATGACTATTTTCCCAATTGTATCCTCACATTCCGGATTGTGTCGTCCGCATAGGGCCCGGAAAGAACTGTTCGTGAAAAATGTATTTATTCTATTTAATTGTTTCCAAATACGCATCACTCTTTCATTCAGATTTTATTTTTGGCAAGGAAGATAATTTTACATGGTATGAATACCCACAAATTTAATACAGGTTTTATTTTTATGAAGTAGTTCAGCTACACAATAACACACTTGATAAAACTGAAGTGAACAACTTCACAAGATCTCATTTCAATTCAAATCACAGTGAGAATATTTATAAATACATTATAAAAGATTCAAATCACAGTAACAAACTGAGTCTTTAATAATCACAATGTTGTGACATCCATATACAGTATTGAGACACTGCAAATAGAGCACAACACAACTCAGTACAACACTACACACACACCCAGTCTGCACAGACAGGGGCGTTAGAGAGCACTGAGGTTTTTTCTTTGTGATATCAGCTCAGTTCTCACAGTAACACACTCAATGTCAACACAGTACAACACAGCACCGTACAAAACAACACTATACTACACACACCCCTAGTCTGCACATGCAAACAGGACTTAGAAAGCACTGACATACCTGTTGTGATGTTATATCAGTCCTAACATTAACACACTCAGTGTGACAACAACACTACACAACACAGTACAACACTGCACTACACACCCCCAGTCTGTGCAAACAGGGACATTAGAGACCACTGAGGTTCCCGTGTTGTGAACAGTCCACACATTAACACACTCTGTGTCTTGGCTACTGTCAACTCCATTATTTTCCAACACTACTGTGTTTCTTCATCAACAAAATAGAACACAGCTCAGCATGACACAACACAGCACAGCACAACACAATGCACCACAGCACTACACAACACAATACAGAGCACTACATAACTCACTACATAACTACATAACTACTACATAACTCAACAAAGCATATTACAAATGTCACAACTAAACACTGCACAACACAGTGCAATATTACATTGCATATTGCTACGAAAAACAACACACATCTACTCTACCAACTGGGAACATCAAAATAAAACACAGCAAACACATCTCTCAGCAGGTGATACTGGGCCCCCTCTCCTACACACAGACAGCACTGATACTTCAACTCTTCAGCTAATTTAATGATAAATCAACTGTTGTCCTAAATGCACAAGCAGCATTGAGAAGTTTAAAACCTGACAGAGAAACAACTTTAAACGGTTAATTGCAAACATGTCTTTATCATGTCTGTGTGTGTTCTGAAGGCCACACACTAAGAAACCTACATTTACTCCAACGTGCTCCAATCAGCTGTGAAATATATCCTGTTGTGTTGAATCCACAGCCCTGGGCTCGCAGCCCTCAGTGTCTCTCCACTCCCCTGGAGGAGATCAGGCCCAGCTGCTGTGCAGATCAGAGGGCTGGTTCCCTCAACCTGCAGTGATCTGGACAGACAGGGATGGAAACAAGGTGACATCACAGCCCCCCACAGTGGACACGGACAGTCAGGGGTTCCTCAGTGTCAGCAGCTACATCCCAGTCAAACAGGAGTCCAACATCTTCTCCTGCCTGGTGAGAAGCACACAGCCTGAGCCAGACTGGGAATCTCAGCTCCACATACCCAGTGAGTATTAAACATGAACACTGGAGCTCACCTGTAACACAGCTGAGGTATAACACACACCCAGGATATAACACACTTGGGACAATGAACACAACCTGCACGAGGAGCTTATTATTATCACTCAAGGCTTAATATTTACTCTGCTCTGTAATGCTCACCTAATTTGTATTCATGAATTCATGACAAGTGTTAAATGTTAAATCCATGCTAAAAAGAAAAAAAAACACAAGATTTTGGCTGTGGAGACTTCTTCAGGTGTGAGAGAGAGAAAAATTAAAATGATTTCCTGATTTCCTGAAAATCAGGATTTACTGAAATTTCCTGAAATTATTTTCCTCTCCCTCCCACAGCCAGTTAAATGAGGTTTTTCCTCCCCCCAGTGCTGTGCAGCTCTTTTTTGGGCATCAGAAGCCGCCCTTGTCAC